CGTAGTTCCCGCGCCTTCTTTGCCTTTTTTTTTTTGCCGGGCCTTGTTTGCAAAGAGTTTTCGTTTTTGCAAGGACCTTACTCTGTAGCCTTGTTCGTCTATCTGATGTTCTTGTTCTTTTTTCTTCTTCTCTTGTCAAGTTGTTCCCTGTTCTCTGTTCCCTTTCCCCATGTTTCTTCTATTTCTCGACTGTTACAGTACTTGTTGAGCTTATTCCCTCTCGTCGTTCGTTTGTGTCTTTTTTTGTGTTACCTTTTTTTTCAACTTTCTTTGTTGTTTTATCGTTCGTGCGCTGCTGCGCCAGCATATAAACTGCGAACCAAAAATGTGTACTTGTTTGTACTGTACTGGTACATTACATCGCACGCACACCTATTCTTTCAAACGAGTTACAACACATAAATACACATGCGGATGCAGCGGCGAGCTTCTGTGGTTTTTCAAATGCCCGGAAATGTTTCCTTCCCACTACGATGCACTGTGCAACGAGGCTTAATGTTCGAAACTGATCGTGCTATCTTTTGTACCCTCTTTATTGTTTACCCCTCGTTTGACGGTCAATAGGTGGACGCCATAGCTCTTGACCTACTAGAGAAAGCCCGGAAGACCAAGATGCCCGTCACGCGCGACGTCCTTCGAAGCTTCGGCCGTGCCGCCAGGGCAACCCTGCTGGCTGATCCAGCAGCTTCTAAGGAAGTGAAGGCGAGGGTCGAGGATTTCAAGGCCGGCGAAAGGTGGGCCAGGAACTTCGTGAAGCGCAACAGCATCGACAGCGTGAGACTTCATGGCGAGGCTGGTAGCGTCAACAAGGAGGCCATCAAGGAAGCCATGGAGGAACTCAAGGCCCTTTGCGCAAAGTACCCGGCTAGGCTCATCTTTAACGTCGACGAGACAGGCCTCCAGTGGAAGCTCATGCCCAGGCGCACGTACCTCTCCAACTTGGAGGATCGGAAGACGGGGCGGGGCTCCAGGGGCATGTTCTTCAAGGATCGACTGTCTGCCATCATGTGCGCCAATGCCGACGGCACTGCAAAGGTTGACATGTCCATCATCGGGAAGGCAAAGGGTCCCCGCTGCTTCAACGACACGCCTTCACCTCTCAAGTACTTCTCGCAGGCCAACGCCTGGTCCGACACCGCGACTTTCCGCAAGTGGTGGTGTGAGGTCTTCCTCCCGTTCGTTCGGCGCTTCACTCACGAACCTGTGCTGCTTCTGATGGACGGCTGTGCTTCTCACGGTGATCTAGTGGATGATCGGGGGCAAGTTACCATCAAGTTCTACCCTCCAAACTGCACCTCCGTACACCAGCCTATGGATCTGGGGATCATCGCCGAGACAAAGTGCAACTACAGGAAGGAGCTGCTCGATGTGAAGACATCGACCATGTTGGTGGCTGACACCCTTCGTGCCGAGGCCAAAGCTCGCAAAATGAAGGCCGGGACAATGGGGCTGGCGCAAGGGCACCAACCTCACGTGCGGGATGCCGCTGAACTTCTCCAGAAAGCATGGGCCAGCGTCACCGCCCAGGACATCGCCAGGTGAGGTTTGAGCATGTGCAATCGCTGTTTATAATGTAAACTGTTCAACTCGCGCCTTGGTGCACATAGCTTTGGTGGTACAAAGGTAACGTGGGTAAGGTTGTACGGATAGATTATATTGTTTTCGACTGAGTTTTCCAACATCCGAATACATATCTTCTTTGCTTTTCGCAAAAACTTGAGTCCTCCCCCGCCTATGAGTCTTTGATCGTCCCTGGGTTCATCTAACATCCGCTTGTTGTCCACCCACAAACGTATGCATGACATTTTCTGCGCTACCTGGGATCAGGTGCTTTGTCAAAGCCGAGACTCTTCCGGACGAGATGGCCGCTGAGCTCACCAAGCAATGGTGGAAGACATGACGGCACAGCTGGCTGGGACTCGAGTGTCTACCGGCCGCGAGGAGGAGGACGAGGAGGAGGACAGCGGCGATGACAACACGGGGCTCGCGCGCCGTGTCCCACCGGCTTATGGTGAACTGTCGTCTCACTTCGGCGTCCTGGAAGCGGCAGCAGAGGAGAGCGGCAATGGAGACGCGGCGCTCTACCTAGCGAAAGCGAAGATGGCGATGATTGCAGCGCATTCCAAGAGGCGGGTGCGCCAGGCAGACATGAGGGAGTTTGTTGCTACGGAGTAAGGGCGGGGAACAGCTGTGGCACTAAAAAAACGGTTGTTTGATTTTTGCGGTGCGCTGCCCGTCGTGCATGTCATTTTTTTTTCTTGCAACATCGATGCGGGTGCGCCAGACAAGGAGATAATATGTCCCGACGTACAGTAGTGAGGACAGGGGTTACAGCTGTGGTAACGGTTGTTTGATTTTTTGCTGTGCGCTGCCTGTCGTGCTTGTCGTTTTTTTTTTTTTGTCCTTGCAACATGAGCGGGTGCGCTAGGCAAACAGGAGAGAATTTGTCCCGACGTACAGTAGTGAGGGCAGGGGTTACAGCTGTGGTAACGGTTGTTTGATTTTTTGCGGTGCGCTGCCTGTCGTGCTTGTTTTTTTTTTCTTGCAACATCGAAGCGGGTGCGCCAGGCAAACAGGAGAGAATTTGTCCCGACGACAGTACACAAATAAGCAAATAAGTGAGGTGCAGAAGAAAATGAAGAACCAAAGAGCGCCCCAAGACAACAAAAAGAAAACTCAACTCTGCCCACGCCCATCCATGCTGGAACTTCACTCAACAGTACAGTAATAATAGTGTCGATCCATTTCGTTCTTTGTTGGCCCCGTAAGCGTGGGCGCTACACCATAAATCGAACACAACCTCATTAGTGCCGGTACCGGTACTAATGAGGGATTGGCCAGCCCTCAATAGTGCCGTTTTGGCACTATTCGCAATAGTGCCGGGTGCCCGATTTAGTGCCGGTGAACGCTCTGTGCACGTACCGGCACTAAAAGGGTCCCTCGACTGTAATTGTTATATGATATGGATGAGAGTGTGTCTTATCGGCAGAATCGATGTTAAAAATCAGAATCGAGTTTCAGTTTAAGACTAGAAAGAGCCAGCGTCCATCTGCTCTGATTGATTGGAATGCGTTCTTTCGGGATAAGCGAACGGATCTTCTTCCTGTTCTTAAACTTGATCTCGAAAAATGGCCAGAGGATTTATTTGGAGTCGACTTTTTTTGCCAAACGCAACCAACTTCGGGTGGACGTTGGGCTGTTGGGAGCTTGCTGCGGCGGTTGACGTTTTCATCTCGCACGCTGCGCGCCCACGTGCGAGCGGATTGCACACGCTACACCACGCACGCCGACCAAGCAGGCAGAAAGTTGATGTCACAGAAGGCGAACGGCGACGGCAGGTTCAACTTGTTGCCGATTTGCCGAGGGCGTGCGCCGAGCACTGGAGTCGGGATTCATGTGCCACCCGTGCCATCGGTGGGTTGGGGTACATCACCAGCTCCATCAACTGCCTCACACGCTTCTTCTTCGCTTTCCCTCGCTGCCACGAGCGGCTGCCCGCATGGCGGGGAGGAGAGCGAGCCATGATTTTGCGAGTGCTGTGCAAAAGGACAAACCGTCGCCCGCAGGTCGCCCAGGCCGCTTGTCGGGACCGTTGGGCTGTTCGGCGTCCGTTCGGGCGTGTTCTCGATTTGAACCTCAGTTTTGCTAACTTTTCGATAAGACGCGTAGTTTGAATTTGGCTGCCTCTTTCTAGACTTAAACTGAAACTCGATTCTGATCTTTAGTTTCGATTCTGCCGATAAGGGAGATAACCGCGGGCGACGCGGGGGGGGAGTGCTGCACCCTCCTCGTCCAAACACCACAGGCAAGCACCGAGCCCTGCAAAGATGGATCGATGCGAAGAAACTCGCCGCTCGTATTAAACGGAAGAAAACACCCCCCCAGCGCGAGGCGGACCGAGAGCGACAGGAGATCGCAGCGGGCGTGAAGGCGACCGCGAAGAAGAAGGCACGGGAGGGCGATTTATCGTTCGGCACGTTCAACGTACGCACGCTCGCCTACAGCGGCAGGAACCCCATCGGCCACAACGTGATGACGGTCATGCAGATCTGTGCCGCGACCGACTGTGATGTGATAGGACTCCAAGAGACCCGACGAGCGGGACAAGGCGCGATTACACACGACGGGTACGTGATCATCTGGAGTGGTGCCCGTGCCGGCACCAAGGACAAGAGGGGCGTGCACGGTGTGGGCATAGCGATTAAGGAGACCATGTGGGACAGCGTAGGCGAGG